TCTGACCTCCGTCCTCCACGTCAGTCTTCCATCTGACCTCCGTCCTCCACGTCAGTCTTCCATCTGACCTCCGTCCTCCACGTCAGTCTTCCATCTGACCTCCGTCCTCCACGTCAGTCTTCCATCTGACCTCCGTCCTCCACGTCAGTCTTCCATCTGACCTCCGTCCTCCACGTCAGTCATATATTTGACCTCTATCCTGCTTATATCAGGGCTGAGGGCTCTTGAGGAAAGTACTGAGGCAGGGTGCTGGAAACTGATTAAACTTCTGCTTTACATCTGTAGCCATCTTACAGTACAGCTCACCCCACACTAGTTACTTTCCCAGGCTGCCCCACTTGCCACTCTAAACCCGGAACTCCGGGCTATGGGGTAGCATGCGACCTTCTCCCCTTCCTCCTATGATGCAATGGTCACATCTGATTGGCCAATCACCAGACCGGGGTGTTGTTGCAGAGGGAAGCCGGTCAGTCCGGTGTTCTGTGACACGAGGTTCTCTCTGGAAGAACGGAATCTCTGAGAAAGGATCGGCGGCAGAGGATGCAGACAGTGAAGAGAACCTGTCACCATTTGGGGCAAATTGACGGGTTCACTTTGATAGTTGTCACCTGGCTGGTGCGTGGACAGTTCTGGGTGTTGGGTGTCACCTCTCTATATCTTCATCCTCAGGATTCAGAACCAGTGCATTGTACAATCGGATCTCTCGAAGTCTCGGACATCCATAAAGTGGAAACAACCCGCACAATGAAGCGGTTTTATTGCGTCTGGTAGTGATAGTGTTAAAGGCGCTTCGTTGGATCTGTTGGAGGGTTTCTGGTGACTCGGTGTCACTGACACAAGGACTGATACCGTCATCGTCCCGCGTTGTCACAGGCCCGCATTGTGTGCACATCGGGGGCTCTCTCCGGGGACAATGCATCTATTGTTGGTGTCTGGCCGGCATAACGTCGAATGGAATATAAATCAGATTCGGCTCTGCCGGTCATTTCCTGGGGAACGGGGTAGAGGGGCCGATCGGCCAAAGCGGTACACTCAGCTCGGCTCCCGGTCTCTTCAGGTTTAGGTGGTCCAGAGAAGTCCTAACCCTAACCCCTGCACACACCATAGGACCCGGTGACCCCTGCACACACCATAGGACTCTGGTGACCCCTGCACACACTATAGGAGTCCAGTGAAGTCCGGGACCCCTGCACACACCATAGGACCCGGTGACCCCTGCACACACCATAGGACTCCGGTGACCCCTGCACACACTATAGGAGTCCAGTGACCCCTGCACACACTATAGGAGTCCAGTGACCCCTGCACACACTATAGGAGTCCAGAGAAGTCCTAACCCCTGCACACACCATAGGACTCCGGTGACCCCTGCACACACTATAGGAGTCCAGTGACCCCTGCACACACTATAGGAGTCCAGTGAAGTCCTAACCCCTGCACACACCATAGGACCCGGTGACCCCTGCACACACCATAGGACTCTGGTGACCCCTGCACACACTATAGGAGTCCAGTGAAGTCCGGGACCCCTGCACACACCATAGGACCCGGTGACCCCTGCACACACCATAGGACTCTGGTGACCCCTGCACACACTATAGGAGTCCAGTGACCCCTGCACACACTATAGGAGTCCGGTGAACCCTGCACACACTATAGGAGTCCAGAGAAGTCCTAACCCTAACCCCTGCACACACCATAGGACCCGGTGACCCGTGCACACACCATAGGACTCCGGTGACCCCTGCACACACTATAGGAGTCCAGTGACCCCTGCACACACTATAGAAGTCCAGTGACCCCTGCACACACTATAGAAGTCCGGTGACCCCTGCACCCCTCACCATTGTCCTCACCCCCTCCCGGAGAGTACACACTCCCCGCCTTATACAAACATGACACCAGCCAACTAATCACACTCCCGGGTCACGTGGTCCGCTCCAGCTGTTGCAATGGATCATCGTGTCATGTATCGGAGCCCCGGGTATAGTTTTCAGCCCCTGGGCGGCTCTTCCGCGGAGCTGAGTAATTCGGGCGTCATCCTCCACCTGGATACACCCTCTTCATGACTTTGCCCGGGCAGGTTGAAGGGGCGGGTGTTGCATAGTCAAACAAAGCCTTGGGGCACTCCTCCCCCTCCCTGAGCGGGGATGGTATGGCCGCGTCGGAATGCCCCGGGGGTATGGAGCAGACCAAGTATCGCAGAGGGGGGGTGGGTGTGTTATTCCTGGGACGGTGCGCTGAGTGAAGGGATCGCAGGCTGTAGTTCTGTCTTATCCTTGTCCATGAATGCTTTGCCCAACTTTCTGATTTTCAATGCCTGGCTCTGCTCCACTCAGGTGTCTGAAGACCTCAGCTGGGCACATCTGACCGGGGCAGTGCCAACATGTCTGTGGCTTTCCTAGTGGACATCCCGGAGGAGTACAGGTAAGTCACTTTCCGGCTTTGTTTTTTAATGTAGTCATTACCACCTGTGACATCCACATAAAAAGTGGCCATTCAGTAGTGGGTGGACTGACCTGCTCTTGGCTATGTTCCCACCCACTTCGGGGTCTTCCCAGTCCTTGTGCATCTTCTATAATATAGATATCCAGCAACAAGACTGGAACTCCTTCATAATGGATGGGTCAGGGGTACAGACGTGGCGTGGAGACCTCGCCATCCGTTGGTTGGTTGACCTCTCCTGCCAAAAACAGAAGTAATGGGTATAGGATGGACTGGCCCTTTTAAATTGTATAATTTTATCCAGAACGTCTTTGGGTCATTTTTGGATAAAGTAGAAAAGGGTTCAAGAATTTCTCTGACCATAGAACACCTTTCACCACGATCCCCATACAATGGGGCACCATGGCACGCTGTGCTGGGCACACGTTCTGAAGCCCCCAGAAATGTTTGCACTGAGCTGCCCATGCATAGTGCACATTGTAGAGTTTGTGAGGAGGAAGGTGAGAAGTCTTTATTGCAGAAGAAACTCTGTAACCAAAAGAAGAACCTTCCTGCTTGCAAAGTTTATGTATTTACCTGAATTTCAACTTTAACATGAACCTGTCACTCTGCCCCCCCTGATGGCAGAGCACAGGTTCACTGTAAAGGGCAATGTTTTAAATGCTCAGTGAGATGTGTGGTATAGGGCGGTAGAGGGTGTAGATTGTGACACAGGGTGGCTCAGGGTGGTAGAGGGTGTATAGGGCGGTATATGGTGTAGAGGGTGGCATAGGGCTGTATAGGGGGGCTCAGGGTGGTAGAGGGTGGCATAGGGCTGTATAGGGCGGCTCAGGGTGGTAGAGGGTGGCATAGGGCTGTATAGGGCGGCTCAGGGTGGTAGAGGGTGGCATAGGGCTGTATAGGGCGGCTCAGGGTGGTAGAGGGTGGCATAGGGCTGTATAGGGCGGCTCAGGGTGGTAGAGGGTGGCATAGGGCTGTATAGGGCGGCTCAGGGTGGTAGAGGGTGGCATAGGGCTGTATAGGGCGGCTCAGGGTGGTAGAGGGTGGCATAGGGCTGTATAGGGCGGCTCAGGGTGGTAGAGGGTGGCATAGGGCTGTATAGGGCGGCTCAGGGTGGTAGAGGGTGGCATAGGGCTGTATAGGGCGGCTCAGGGTGGTAGAGGGTGGCATAGGGCTGTATAGGGCGGCTCAGGGTGGTAGAGGGTGGCATAGGGCTGTATAGGGCGGCTCAGGGTGGTAGAGGGTGGCATAGGGCTGTATAGGGCGGCTCAGGGTGGTAGAGGGTGGCATAGGGCTGTATAGGGCGGCTCAGGGTGGTAGAGGGTGGCATAGGGCTGTATAGGGCGGCTCAGGGTGGTAGAGGGTGGCATAGGGCTGTATAGGGCGGCTCAGGGTGGTAGAGGGTGGCATAGGGCTGTATAGGGCGGCTCAGGGTGGTAGAGGGTGGCATAGGGCTGTATAGGGCGGCTCAGGGTGGTAGAGGGTGGCATAGGGCTGTATAGGGCGGCTCAGGGTGGTAGAGGGTGGCATAGGGCTGTATAGGGCGGCTCAGGGTGGTAGAGGGTGGCATAGGGCTGTATAGGGCGGCTCAGGGTGGTAGAGGGTGGCATAGGGCTGTATAGGGCGGCTCAGGGTGGTAGAGGGTGGCATAGGGCTGTATAGGGCGGCTCAGGGTGGTAGAGGGTGGCATAGGGCTGTATAGGGCGGCTCAGGGTGGTAGAGGGTGGCATAGGGCTGTATAGGGCGGCTCAGGGTGGTAGAGGGTGGCATAGGGCTGTATAGGGCGGCTCAGGGTGGTAGAGGGTGGCATAGGGCTGTATAGGGCGGCTCAGGGTGGTAGAGGGTGGCATAGGGCTGTATAGGGCGGCTCAGGGTGGTAGAGGGTGGCATAGGGCTGTATAGGGCGGCTCAGGGTGGTAGAGGGTGGCATAGGGCTGTATAGGGCGGCTCAGGGTGGTAGAGGGTGGCATAGGGCTGTATAGGGCGGCTCAGGGTGGTAGAGGGTGGCATAGGGCTGTATAGGGCGGCTCAGGGTGGTAGAGGGTGGCATAGGGCTGTATAGGGCGGCTCAGGGTGGTAGAGGGTGGCATAGGGCTGTATAGGGCGGCTCAGGGTGGTAGAGGGTGGCATAGGGCTGTATAGGGCGGCTCAGGGTGGTAGAGGGTGGCATAGGGCTGTATAGGGCGGCTCAGGGTGGTAGAGGGTGGCATAGGGCTGTATAGGGCGGCTCAGGGTGGTAGAGGGTGGCATAGGGCTGTATAGGGCGGCTCAGGGTGGTAGAGGGTGGCATAGGGCTGTATAGGGCGGCTCAGGGTGGTAGAGGGTGGCATAGGGCTGTATAGGGCGGCTCAGGGTGGTAGAGGGTGGCATAGGGCTGTATAGGGCGGCTCAGGGTGGTAGAGGGTGGCATAGGGCTGTATAGGGCGGCTCAGGGTGGTAGAGGGTGGCATAGGGCTGTATAGGGCGGCTCAGGGTGGTAGAGGGTGGCATAGGGCTGTATAGGGCGGCTCAGGGTGGTAGAGGGTGGCATAGGGCTGTATAGGGCGGCTCAGGGTGGTAGAGGGTGGCATAGGGCTGTATAGGGCGGCTCAGGGTGGTAGAGGGTGGCATAGGGCTGTATAGGGGGGCTCAGGGTGGTAGAGGGCAGGATACGTTTAGAAACAACAATTTTACCAGCAAAGTGTCCCTAGAATTGATTTTCAGAGCATTGCCCCCAGTCTATGTGTGTCCTCCTCCTCCTCCTGACATGGTCTGCCCTGTGTTCTGACCCCCTCCAGCCCCAGCGATGATCGTGATGTACACAGTTCCTTCTGCAGTGTTATTGAAGATGCAGAACAGGACGCCTTGCTGGAGCTGCAGGAACGTAATGCCCATGCAGGTAGGTCACCCTGACGTCTACATCCCTGTACAGGACTTTGGTCTAAGTAAAGATCGGGATATTGTTTAAAGTGAGGAAGCGATGAGGCCATTGAACCCGAGCTGTTGCAACATCCTTCCTTGCATTGGAGAAGAGATCATACACGGCGGGGGGTAAATAAACCCTCACAATGAAATGTTCCTCTTTGCTCCCTTTTGGTCTGTTGAATATACTACCGGAAGTGTTTTTTGTTACATCTCTTCAATAAGGAAGAAAATACCTCTCATTATCTGATAACTGTGCCGCCCTCTTGTCAGTTACTCCCAGTTCTCTCGGTGGACTACAGAACACCTCCCACCAAGGTTGTGGGGATGCAAGTCTGATGTACCAGCCAGAGCTTTCCTATTAGCAAATCTCACACTTCCTGCTGATTTGGAGATCTCTGCTAGGAGGGGCTTGTTGAAACCTCTGCGGAGAGACCGCTGCTTTTACACAGAGAGCAAGGGTCCGTCTTTGCATGGTTCCATCGAGTCGCTGAGATTTCCCCTATAGCGGCCGTTCTACAAATGTCTATATGTGATACTGTCACAAGATATGGAAGAGCCAGAAATGTGACAACCAAATCCCGATACAAATTAAAGGACAACACCGCGTTCATTGGAACCTATAACTTTACTTTCACTTTGACATATTTAGGGTGTGCAGGTGAAGGAAGTATTTGTCTGACGTGTATTCCTTGTGTTGTGCAAGATTAGGATCAAATTTCACTAAATCCCGAAACTGATTCACAGCAGAAAGATCTGAACTATCCGGATTTCTGTTCTCAGGCAGTTGTATCGTATTGAGGTTTTGTTATGCAGCACTTTGCAGAGAACACTTAACCATTTATCTGAGATACTGCCACATACTGATACTAGAGGCGCATATAACCTGCCACATACTGATACTAGAGCCGCATATAACCTGCTACATACTGATACTAGAGCCGCATATAACCTGCTACATACTGACACTGGAGGCGCATATAACCTGCTACATACTCATACTGGAGGCGCAAATAACCTGCTACATACTGATACTGGAGGCGCATATAACCTGCTGCATACTGATACTCGAGGCGCATATAACCTGCCACATACTGATACTAGATCCGCATATAACCTGCTACATACTGACACTGGAGGCGCATATAACCTGCTACATACTCATACTGGAGGCGCAAATAACCTGCTACATACTGATACTGGAGCCTCATATAACCTGCTACATACTGATACTAGAGCCGCATATAACCTGCTACATACTGATACTAGAGCCGCATATAACCTGCTACATACTGATACTAGAGCCGCATATAACCTGCTACATACTGATACTAGAGCCGCATATAACCTGCTACATACTGATACTAGAGCCGCATATAACCTGCTACATACTGATACTAGAGCCGCATATAACCTGCTACATACTGATACTAGAGCCTCATATAACCTGCTACATACTGATACTAGAGGCACATATAACCTGCTACATACTGATACTGTAGGCGCAAATAACCTGCTACATACTGATACTGGAGCCTCATATAACCTGCTACATACTGATACTGGAGCCTCGTATAACCTGTTACATACTGATACTTGAGGCGCATATAACCTGCCACATACTGATACTAGAGCATCATATAACCTGCCACATACTGATACTAGAGCCTCATATAACCTGCTACATACTGATACTGGAGCCTCATATAACCTGCTACATACTGATACTGGAGCCTCATATAACCTGCCACATACTGATACTAGAGCCTCATATAACATGCCACATACTGATACTGGAGCTTCATATAACCTGCTACATACTGATACTGGAGCCTCATATAACCTGCTACATACTGATACTGGAGCCTCATATAACCTGCTACATACTGATACTAGAGCCTCATATAACCTGCTACATACTGATACTAGAGGCACATATAACCTGCTACATACTGATACTGTAGGCGCAAATAACCTGCTACATACTGATACTGGAGCCTCATATAACCTGCTACATACTGATACTGGAGCCTCGTATAACCTGTTACATACTGATACTTGAGGCGCATATAACCTGCCACATACTGATACTAGAGCATCATATAACCTGCCACATACTGATACTAGAGCCTCATATAACCTGCTACATACTGATACTAGAGCCTCATATAACCTGCTACATACTGATACTGGAGCCTCATATAACATGCCACATACTGATACTGGAGCCTCATATAACCTGCCACATACTGATACTAGAGCCTCATATAACATGCCACATACTGATACTGGAGCCTCATATACTCTGCCACATACTGATACTAGAGCCTCATATAACATGCCACATACTGATACTGGAGCCTCATATACTCTGCCACATACTGATACTAGAGCCTCATATAACATGCCACATACTGATACTGGAGCTTTGACGTTCATGTGCGCAGCGAAAGCCGGCCGGTCTAATAAGAAAGGCCGCATTAGTGTTCCACTTGATGACTGCACTGGGATCCCGTCATTCAGATTTGTATTCACAGTATAGTAGGAAACAAAATGTCTAGAAGGGTAAATATTAAAGGAGAACTATGAGGGGGAGGGGGGTGCTTGTCACTCACCTCATAGTTCTAGCCGACCTGTGACAATGAGACTGTCACAGGTCGGCTCAGTAGATCAGGAGGTGAGCGAACACATACGGGCGTTCGCTCACTTCTCGATCCTGTCACGGCTCTCTGCAGTGACAGGGGAGGGACGGGATTCCCCCCTCCCCGCTCCGATCCACCAGCGCTGATTGGAGGAACGGACGGGGGAGGGGGCGGGTACAGCTGGCTCTGCCTCTAGATAGGCGGAGCCAGCTGTCACTCACGCAGCTGGGCGGATCCAGACATAATTGTCGGGATCCGCTTCAGCTGCGGCGTCTCAGTATACCAGCTCGCGGTATACTGAGCCTAGGGTGACGGGAGGACGCTAGTTTGTGTCCTCCCGTTACCCTAAGGAGAACTATGGGGGAAAAGCCCCGACCCCATAGTTCCGCTTTAAATATCTAGGAGGGATTCTTTATATTTACCAGACAAAAAATAAACAAAACGGATTAGTATCAAAATATTCCCCTGACTGATAAATAAAGCAAACGTGTATGAAAAACGCGATACATTCCCTTTCATAACCTAAATAAATAAATAAAAGTGAGACATTCTATGACAGAAATAAATAATAATCCGGAGCCGAGTGTTCACCATTTCTGGTGGTGACAGCTCCAGGTCAGCAGAGGCCGAGATTCTAAGTGAAAGCGGTTATTATAAAATATTTATCTGTAGGTATGAAGCTCGTTACTCTAATGGATGGAACTCTAATCTATAATCACTTAAAGCCGAAATCCGGGCAGGAGGAATGTTTCAGATATATAATTAATGGCGGGGAATGTGGGCGGCCTCCATCGTCCCCAAAACGAGATTCTTCTCTCACTGGACTAAGAGCTCTTCGGAGATGTAGTTCTGGAGGGCGTGTGCCTACGTCAATAGCAACTGAGCTCCCTGGAGCTGCCTCTGCGAGAATTTGGGTGATGTCACAGGGAAGTCACAAAAGCTGTTTCTCGCTACAGGAACGTGATCTGGAGAGGGAGGTTTGGTTTCATTTTGGTAGTTCTGGAACATAAACTCTTTAAAGGAGAACTATGAGGTGAATGATTTCCACTCCTCCTCATAGTTCCAGCCGACCTGTGACAATGAGACTGTCACAGGTCGGCTCAGTAGATCGGGAAGTGAGAGAACACATACCGTCGCTCGCTCACTTCTCGATCCTGTCCCTGCAGAGAGCCTTGACTTTCACTCACGGCTCCCTGCAGGGATTCCTCCCCGCTCCGATCCTCCAGCGCTGACTCGCGGAATGGACGGGGGAGGGGGCGGGCACAGCTGGCTCTGCCTCTAGATAGGCAGAGCCAGCTGTCACTCACGCAGCTGGGTGGATCTCGACAGTAATGTCGTGATCTGGCCCGGCTGTGGCGGTCTCAGTATACCGCGACCTGTAGCTCGCTATATACTGAGCTTTGGGTGACGGGAGGACGCTAGTTTGTGTCCTCCCGTCACCCTGAGGAGAACTATGGGGAAAAGCACTGACCCCATAGTTCTCCTTTAAGACCGCCCAATCAAAAGGAGGCTACAAAAACAGGACTGAAAAATAGTTGGGTGAAGGATGACCACGCTGCCAGATGAAAGATGATGGGATGGTTGGAGGAGGGCAGACGTAGAGATAGAGAATGAGATAAAGGATAGATGTGAGAAATGGGATGGACGGGGTGGGATGAGAATACCAATGGGGCAGATGATGGAAGATCGGGGCAGATCGCTTTTGTTTCTTTATGGGATGTCGTGGCCAATTTCAAACCAACCTTCCCATCCATGGTAAGAGGGCATCTTTGTACTAAAATCCCTACAAGGGTTCCCCCAACCCCTCTCCTATCGAGTTTGGCTCCCCCATTAACGCTATAGAGCCTGTAGATCCTACACTGCAGCACAGACGCAAGAAAATGGATGTGAACCCTGCCTGGCACATCGGGTAAAGCGGGTCCGCACTGCGTCTGAGGCCTGTGTTTGGGTACAATAGATAGGAAGATGGGGGAACCGGCACAGGAGTACGACCTATACTTCAACCCGCCCAATGTTTGGTGGTCAGTAGTTTGTATGATGCGTGCTCATGATGTTGTGTTTCACTCTTCTATCCTCCTAACAGGCCACAGATCTCAGAGACATGATGACCGCAACGTGGCCACCATGAGAATCCTTGCCGACATGCCAAGTCGCACAATAGGTGGGTACAATGAGTCCTATACGATACAGCGCTGGACCAATGTATATAGAATTTCCGGAGCCAGTCTGGCCAACTGAGGAGCTTCATTGACATCAACCAGATGAAACCTCAAAAGTTAGGCACCGGCTGTTATTTTTAAGGAGCATTGACTACCCGGCTCCCGGGATCAACTCTTCTGTATGCATGCCTGTTCCCCCGGGGGGACGAGAAGGAACGGAGACTTGTGCTGGGATAATACAAGCTCATGGTTTGCTCTGAAGCATAGGGAGCTACTCTGGCTGAAAGGTATAGGAGATGAAGAAGAGCCACACTAATAATTGGGAGTCCGATTTACGTTTGAACGGTCACCCTTCATCGGGGCCCAGTTGTCACAGTGAGGGTAAATGACTCAAAAGGGTTACATTGTTGGAATCCAATGTATACATTTGGAAGGTTATAACTAGGGAGGCACCGATACCGATACTAGTATCGGTGTCGATACCGAGTATTTGGGTGAGTACTCGTACTCGCCCAAATGCTCCGATACCTAGCACGAGTACTTCCTGTGTCAGGAAGCCGGGCAGCGCATCATTACAGGCTGCCCGGTTTCCTGATTGGCCAGGAAATGACTCCATACTCTCTCGTCATGTGATGAGAGAGCATGGAGGCGACTTTCCGGCCAATCAGGAAGCCGGGTAGCGTGCAATGACGCGCTGCCCGATTGATCAGGAGGCTAGCAAATCCGGAAGGCAGGCGCCGTGTAATAACGCAGCGCCCGGCATTCTGATTGGCCGGGAAGCCGGCGTCATGCTCCCTCGTCATCTCATGAATCATAATATTAAGAAAGTGACCTTGAAGCATTAGTTTGTATTGCTTTAGAAAAAATGTGACCTGTCCCTTTAAGAAAAAGTATCGGTAATTGGTATCTGTGAGTACTTGATCAAAAGTATCGGTACTCGTACTCGGTCTTAAAAAAGTGGTATCGGTGCATCCCTAGTTATAACAGAAGGAAAGAAGAGTTCCTCAGCAGTTTGCTGCAACCAGCTACTGAAGCCTGAGGCCTCCTACGTTGATTCTTGGGCCCTGGTGAAGGGAGGCTGTTCAACCTTCAAACACACGTTGTCCTTCTTTGTTGGGCTTTTATGGTTTAGTTACATATATCTGGATTCTGATTTCTTCTTCTTCTTTTATACCCTTTTATATTTCAATCAGAACGATCTCTAGATGCCTTCCATGTATGAGAGCTGCCTGACCAGTAAACTCTAAGCCAGGGGTAGGTAAACTCCGGCCCGCCAGCTGCAGTGGAACTACAAATTCTATTAGACATTGCTAGACTCTGACAGCCACGGGCATGACTCCCAGAGGCAGATGCATGATGGGATTTGTAGGATCATCACAGCTGGAGGCTGTCTACCCCTGATGTACATACTTATACATTATGACACACTTACCTCTCTGTGTGCTCTCATCCAAAACCGCTCCGAGCTCCACTCCGCCTCTGCTGGTGCCATATTATCTTCCTCTTCTTCCAGATCCATCGCCTTCTTCTTTGCCCATTGGGAAGGCCTTCAGTAGTTTCACCGCAGCCGGAGGGCTAGAGATTCTCTGTCCCTGCCCTTAACCATTCCACATGAGTGAAGGTCTGAATGGTTGCTCCAATTTGCAGTGGAATGAATATTCGGATTTTCTTGGGAGGCCGCGCGCCCTGCGGGGTTCCCTACTCACCACTTTGTTTCCTTCTTTCTTCATCCGTACATCACACCGCAGGACGCTGCAAGGGAGCCATGCTGTCCGAGTATTGTAACCGCACGGTCAGGAGGAGGCAGTCGAAGAAGCGGCCATCACTGTACACCATGGATCGCAGTGCCAGACCCAGCCTGCGGCAGAGGGACGAGGTGGCAGAGGGAGAAGAGGGTAAGGTTCTCCTATAGACAAGGGACTCTTTCCTTAGTGTTATGTATGCAGTATAATAATAGAGTGTAACGTGTGTGTGACTCCTCACCCTGAACTTCTCTTATTTGGTCCCCTTTGCTCTGTTAATTATAACGAAATGTTTTTATTAGTATATCTGTTCAAGCGGTGAAAAAATATACCGTATTTGCCGGCGTATAAGACGGGTTTTTAGCCTTAAAAACATCCCCCGAAAATTGGGGGTCGTCTTATACGCCGGATATGCAATATCGCTGGATGTGCGGTTATACTGTATGTAGGGTAGCTTCGGCGACATACAGTATACCGCGCTGAGCCAATCACGGCGAGTGATGCATTCTATTAATGAATACAAAGCCTGCCGAGATT